TCAAAAAGTCTCTTATTGTCTGCTTTCTGGAAATATCGTTTCACAACATTTTAAGACCTGCTGAGCGGAATTATTATAGCAATTTTGTAAAAGTTGCAGCTGCTGTAAGTTTGATTTACAGCATAGGTAGGCTTACTCTAGATGCTATTAAAGTTTCATCTACCAATTTAAAATGTTTAGCTTAGTGTATTTGATCCCTCCAAGGTACTACTTTTAAAATGTACCTATGGGTCTCTTTATATTTATTTATTAAATTTTTTTATTAAATAAACTGTTACCACATCAATTTTTATAATTATATTATGGTATTATTAGCGTTATTCAGGCTCAGGCAGGTTGGATTATTTTATTTTATATTATGTTTGAATTTTATGAAAGGGTTCAATCTTGTTGAAGTAACGTGCTGTACTGGTCTTCATCCGTTTAGTCAATATCAAAAAATATATGCTTCTGCAAGAACTTTCATAACAATCTTGCCTATGGCAAAAATATACCTATTGCAGTTTAGTGTAGTCTCGGAAATTTTTGGTATTATGAATTACGCTGGCCGGTAGTAATGAATTCCAGGCATTTTGACTTCCATACATATCATATTCATTCATTAAACGAGTTTCACTATTGCGATCTCTTCATTGACTGTTGTATATTAGTTATGAGTTGTTTTTGGCATTTGGTTTAACGAAATGATACTAACTCGAATTCAACTTTTCATGCAAGGATATAGTTTATAATATATTTATTAAACAAATATATAGAAGTGCAATTATTTGTTCAATGTAAATTATAAATTTAATTTTCATCAAACCATTAATAATCTTCTATTTGTTTCCCCTTTATCTGTGGAAACATGTGTTCCAAGTCCAAAATTCAGATTTCAGCCAATTCCTTACGTTAAATCCGCAAATTTTGTGCCTCTTTTATAGAACAATAAAAACCTTATTTTTTGGGTAACTCAAATATCCAAATATGTACAAAAATTAAATTAAAAATGAAATTACCATATTAAATTATTTTTTATTAGTAACAGAAGGTCGATTGAATTATTTTGAAATATTTTACGAAAAACTGTTCCGGATTATTTGAAGGTTTTACCTTTATAGCAAAACTGCAGCTTTTGCTTTTGAACTAGGTAAACTACTCTAATACGAGTAGATTAAGTGAAAAACTTGAATTCATGTTTGAGGGTCGGTGGCTAAATTTGAAAGATCGATTGCGAAATTGCTTTAGGAACCAAAATTCTGATCGAAGTGTGTTTGTGCCACATTTTTACGAACAGTTTTCATTTCCCAGCGGTAGGGGATCAGCATAGTTCAGAAAAGATTGAAAACGTTTTATACAATATAAAAAAGGTGCGTAATATTGGAAATTTTATGTAAAAATCCAAAGTCGGTTATAGTTACTACCGGCTCTAGAGTCACACTCTATCGCCAAATATTATAAAAGTAAATATACTGGAGCTTGTTTACATAAGTAGTCAATTTGTAGAGCAAATATTGTGGTGCATTAAACGACTAGCACTGAAGCTCAGAACAATCACTCCCTAGACTGCCATTTCTTATGTTAGCTCTACAATGGATCGTTCAGAGCAATATTTCCTAAGATCGACGAATCATTCATTGAAACGAAAATTAATCAATTTAGTAATACTTCATTTCGATTTTGCATAGGAACCAGTGTAAATATAGCATTCTAAAATTGAACGAAATTTGCTTATTGCTTCCAATCTATCTTAGAATAATGGGCAATTCTCTAATATAATCACACTATACCTGGAAAATTAGGGGTGGATAGAATGCCTCGAGCTGCTGTGTGGGTGCCACCACACGTCTGCCTTAATGCCGCATTCGATAATATTTGCATTAACAATATCCAAAGTGAGGAAATGCAAATCAGCCGGTACATTGTACTGAAAACTTAGTCGTTCATCGTTGCCATATGGAATCTGAAACAATTACAACAGCTTTAGTTTCCACATGTTCGCTATCTAATGAATCGGAAAATGAGTGCTCGGAAAACTTACTTAGAAATGCGTTTCAATATTCGCTAAATTATGCAGAATAGAGTGGTGTGGTAGCCTTATTAGGTATTTTGGTTTGAATTAATGTGACTGACAATATTTTAAACAGAAAGCATGTTTAAAGCAGGCATTTATTTTTTTTGAACAGGCTTCACGGCGACGCACATCTGAAATGATGGTAATTCGTGCACGCAGTATGATCTCCGTAGGGTTTTCTTTGTCAACTTTACATTTTTTCAAATTTGTAATGCGAACAACCCAAAACACAAATAATTTCCTGTGGATAATTGATTGCTTTAAAAAAATTAAAGTGGAAATTCTATAACTAAATACAATGGCTAACCTACCACTGATTTTAGATGGTAAAGTAAATCGGCTTTCAACATAAAACATTAACGAATTGAATGTAAAAATTACAGAAAGTTGGAACGCAATTTCCCCAGAGTGCACTAGGAAGTTAGTCCAATCAATGCCGAGACGACACAGGAAATAGGTACATTTTAATGACGAAATACCAAGAAAATGTTAATAGTCACTTTTAATTAACCCCTTGTGTTTTCTTCATTGATTATTACCTTATTTTTTAAATGGATTCGTATTTATTTTTACCCAACCACTTCTATAAGTTTTTATAGATAACTAGCTGGCCCGGCTAACCTTGTTCTGCCATATAAATTATTTATAGTGAATATTTTGGTTGTAAAATACAAAATATCGAATGTATTGTAAGTGAGTGGGGATGGAAAATGGAGTGGAAATAAAAAACATCGCAGAATGATGTTGTCCTGACCACGTCGAATCATCATACGATACGCATAAAAATCCATCGACCCCAGACTAGAGGTGGGATAAACGGTTATTTTCCTGTAACAAGGTTACAACGTTCCAGTTTTACGTTGGTAATAGGTTTCAAAATGCGGTTCCAAAAGGAACATGATACTTTTAAAAAATTTCATTAAACATGCGCATTGATGATGATGGTAGAAATAGTAATGACAAATAATGATTTCGTTTATTGAAAGAATAATTATTAACTAAAGCTCTTAGTTACCTGCTTAAGGAACAAAAGAACTGATAATAAACTAGATCAAATATATAAATAAAAACTGATTAAATAAAATATACGCTTTATTTGCAAAACTGTTTAAAAATCAAATTTTTATTTAAAAATGAATTAACATTTAAAAATAAAAAATTTTGCAGATGAGTTCGAAGTATTTCCCGAGTTAATTTTGGTACCACCAAAAAATACTTTTAGAAAATATGTCGACCTTACAACGCCTATATAAATAACTTTCATTTCATCTTGTGGCAAGCTTGCTTAAATGCAGGTGCACTTTCTTCTTACAACGTTTATCATTTTACATTTCAACTGTAATGGAATTTATGTCTTAAACTCTAAATTTGGTCATAGCTCATATGCAAGTGTACATTCTGCTTAGTTTGCTGATTATAGGCAAATACATCTTGAGCTAAGTTTAATTAATGAGATAAATCTATTTTTTTAAGATTTATTACAGAACGTCAGAAAACTAAATACTTATAGACTAAAAATGCTGAATTAATATCTGATCCATATCTGAACGATTATGGATTCTGGAGAACTGAACAGTAATTCTTATAATCGAAAAGTGATAAACACAGTAATCAAGGCAACACGCCACTATACATATTATCCGTTGACAAATGGTTACTGAAACTGCTGCAATTGGATAGAGGAGAATTGGAGATTGACATCGGTTCTGTGCTGACGAGAACTACTTTTTCAGGTTTATGAGACGGTTCCAAAAAAAACGTTTTAATCGGCAAACGGCTGCAGCTAGTGCGAAGTACGCACAACTGTTTAGGTTTTATGAGACGGTTCCAAAAAGAACGGTTTAAGTCGGCAAACGGCTGCAGCTGGTGCGAAGTGCGCTCAACTGTTTCGGTTTTATGAGACGGTTCCAAAAAGAACGGTTTAAATTGGCAAACGGCTACAGCTAGATAGATGCTCGACGGTGTCGCATCGGTTCTGTGCTGTTGCGAACGGCCTTTTCGGGTTTATGAGACGGTTCCAAAAACAATCGGTTAAATCTGCTAGCTGTAACTACGGTTTTAGGTTACACGTTTGTAACAATGTTATTTTAGCGGTTACGTTAAATACCGACCATCCTTACTCCAGACACCCTAACCACCGAGCGGTATGAAATATACTTTACCACCTATTCTCATACCTGCCAAATATAGACAAAAAATTTCATAAAAATCGGCTGAGCTGTTTCGGAGGAGTTCGACCACAAACACCGTGACACGAGATTTTTATATATGTATATAGATATAGAAGTAGTCGTATGTTTTGGCAATACAGAGTATAAATCGGTAATTCTTCTTTCCATACATAATCCATATTTCAAGCCTCTTTTTGGTGGACATCGTATTGTTTCCGTTGGGTTGCAATCAAAATTATTTGATGATTGCATTTGCTTAATCTGGCAAGTTTACTTGAAGTAGCACTTTTCTTAGAACTACTGAGTTTTCTTTCTCTTCTTCAAATTTTCATCTTTTTGTTACTTTTTGCACTTGATTTTCTAAACATAACATTTTTTTATCTCCCAATAAATACACAATATTTGAGGACTTCAAAGAAGCCGAGTGAAAAAGTTGAAAATTTTCTGCTTACTTCGTGGAAATACCTGGCTGTTTAGCACCATTACGAACAATCACTTCTTAAGATGCGCTCTTATTTTGTTAAATTTTCACTTGATTACTGGTGTACTAATGACAGTAGCTTTATTATCAAATTTGCCATAGATGAACATTTTTTTCAAATATTAATTACGGTAGGGCTTTGTGGTGAAATACCTGGCCACTGGATTCGAGTTTAGGTAACTAGCAGTTAGTTATGATTTTATGTGCCTAAGTCTAATTAGTTAGTGCTTTTAACTAGTCGACTAGCTTTAATTTGTAAATTACTAAAATCTCCTAAATGTTGACTTTCCTGAACATTATCGAAAAATTCACATTCACACACGAAGAAGGGAAGACTAAAAAATGTTAACAACAGTTTCAACAATTCTGTGCAAAGAGAAATTATTTCCTTTCGTGCAGCTAAAATTAACATTAATGTGATTTGCTGCGTACGGTGCAGTTTTATCATGTAAACTTTTTTGACAATTTTTATCTCTCTATCATCACACCAAAGTTTTCAAGGAGTGAAGTGTTTGGGAGTGTTAATTGAAGAAACAACTAGTGTTACTCAATGATAAATCGCATTAAATTTTTAAAAACATTTTAATATCGAATATTTTCCGGAATATTTCTTGTGGCCCTATTATTTTTTACAAAAATTTTGTTGCGTCGCCCACAATTGGGATCTTAATTGATCCTCAGGACTTTTATCTTTAGGAACATTTGAATTTGTTGCACTGAAAATAATCAAGCAGATTTCAAAATTACAGTGTCTAAATCTAAAATCAGTTTATACCAAAAAGCTAGTGCCTGCTTCTTCAAAAACGCCGTATAACTAATAAAATGTCGCCCTGCGTTTTGTGCCGGGATGCCGATAACCTTTAATTGCAATAATTTTCACCGTAGCTTCAGATATCGAGTGAATAAAAGCCATTTTACTTAAAAATGGCTAATATTTCAGAAAAACGGGTAATAAATAAAAAATGGAAGGCTGCGTTTATGTTGTATGTAAACGCTTCTTTTCTTCTACGATGTTTTCCAAATATAATAAATTTTTCTTTGTTATCACCTAAAATTAACGATATGTAGCAATTTCCAAACTGCTCTATACGGTCTTCAAATTAAATTATCGTGAAAATTCACCTTTGTTATTAAAGACCCTGTACAGAAACATAACATCATAGCACAGAAATGGCTATGATTGATATGATAGTGTTATGTTTCATCTGAGAGGAGAAAATAAAATTCAGCAAGAAAAATAATGTGTACCCCCGGAATATATTTCCTTTTGCTCATGTACCTCCTGCTATACAGTTAACACAATAGAAGTATGTCTTTTGTGTTCATAATCTACACACTAAATTAAGTTTGGCTGCGTTATCTACAACGTCAAGTATCATATTTAGCTCTTAACATAAGAGGAATTTTGTTCGGAAGATGCCGTCAAAGGCGCATAAACTGTGATGATATTAATTGATACGGAAGTCTTTTCATGAACACGTCCTTTATATTAAAGTGTGACAAACGCGCTTCTTTGTCGAATTTATTAAAACCATTAACTTTTAGTGCCAAGATGAATTGGTTATTCATACTTTCATATTTACACCCCCTTTATTTATAGCTGCATTTTTATAAAGTGATAAAACTTCAAAAGTAATAACAATGTAAACTAAGATTATGGCTTATTTAGAACAATCAGCAAGTAACGATGAAAGTATAAAACTGCCAAAAATGAAAATCTAGTGAATAATGTCGCTAATTATAAGTTTTTAACATAATGTTTGTTTCACAAGCTGGAATGACAAAAATTCCAATGAACAGTCTTAGAGATAAAAATATCAGAAACATCAGTTATTCAGAAATTGTATTTATTCAAGCAATTGCACCTTTCTATGATACCAAACGGGGAGATTGAAAATATATTGCCTCATTCTGACATGGCAATACAAACGGGATTGAAAATATAGCAATGAACGCAGACATGATATAGATTGGGTAAAATGACATTGCACGTGATTTATGTTATCCCAATCGAGTCACTATAATTCGGCGGTTCTTTATATGGGCTTCTTTGCTGTCTCTTGGGGCCAACCAGCCAGATACATCAATCGCCTGAGAAAAGTGAGTGTCTTGAGAAATTAGCGAAGTTGCTACTTGATACATTCTCAGTGTTTGTGCTGCAAAATCAATTAAAATACAAAATTGTACTGTTTAGGTTTTATAAATGGAGACTAACGCCAAACGCGACAAAAAATCAA